CAGCAGCAGCAGCAGCAGCAGCAGCAGCAGCAGCAGCAGCAGCAGCAGCAGCAGCAGCAGCAGACCTGTAGAAAGACCTTGGCCTGGTGCTGCGCTCTGTCTCTGCATCTAACAAACTGCTCCCGCAGCAGATTAGGGTTATAGGCCTCGTGCATAAACCCTAAACCCCAAACCACCACACAAACCCTAGACATATATTCCTAGGGTTTAGGGTTTAGGGTTTAGGGTTCAGCTAGCTAGCTAGCTAGCTAGGCATTGGCTAGCTAGCTAGCTAGCCAGCTAGCTAGCTAGCTAGCGAATGGCTCGGGAGAAGTATGGGGTTGGTGTTGAACGGTGGTCGACGAGGGTTTAGGGTTTAGGGTTTAGGGTTTAGGGTTTACCTAGGTGGTGGTTTTCGTCAAAAAAGCGAGCGGCGTGATGAGCTCTGTATTCTTTAAGGTATTTCTTATAACCCTCATTTAGGGTTTCTTGGCTCGTGCCGTCAGGCTGCACACAAACCCTAAACCCTAAACCCTAAACCCTAAACCCTAAACCCTAAACCCTAAACACTGATCGAGAAGCACTGTCTCGTGCTTGAAAGAAGACGGCAGCCGCAGAAAAAGTAAATATGTAACAGACTGTAAACCCTAAACCCTAAACCCTAAACCCTAAACCCTAACCCTAAACCCTAAACCCTAAACCCTAAACCCTAAACCCTTACATTTCTTAGTACAAACTGCTTGAAGCTGAGCATGGGCCCATCCAGCATTTGTTTTATTTGTGTTTCTCCATCTAAACCCTCAGCAGCAGACGTAAACCCTAGATCTCGATTAGGGTTTACAAAACCCCCGTTGTTGTAAACCCTAAACCCTGATGAGGGGTAGTCGCGGTGCCGCCCCCAACTGCCCCGCGTAGATGCAGGGGACCTGCTGCGGCTTCGACCCATCGTAAACCCTAAACCCTAAACCCTAAACCCTAAACCCTAAACCCTCGGCATGCATAACAGCAAACAGAAACACAACAAACACGCCATGCAGCTGTGCTGCACGAGGCGCCGTTGCTGCTGCAGCTCCTGCTGCAGCTGCTGCTGCTGTTGCTGCTGCTGCTGCTGTTGCTGCTGCTGTTGCGTTGTTGCTGCTGAAGTGGCGTGTTGCTGCTGCTGCTGCTTTTGCTGTTGCTGCTGCTGCTGCTGCTGCTGCTGCTGCTGACGCTGGTCTCTGTGCTGCTGCTGCTGCTGCTGCTGCTGCTGCACCTGCTGCTGCAGCGAATGTTAGTAAGGAAAGAAAAGCCAAGAAAGAAGCAAAGAAGCAACGAGAAAGTTGCTGCTGCTGCAGCAGCAGGACTAGCAGCAGCAGCAGCAGCAGCAGCAGCAGCAGCAGCAACAACAGCAGGGGGAAAGCAAAAAGGATTTGAATATAAAAAGAAGAACAGAGCTAAAATAAAAAAACAAATTTATTTTTTATTTATTTTTTTATTTTTATTTTTTATTTCACTGAGAAACCACCCACTCGTTGCTGGGGGTTTTCTCCGCGCCGCTTGGGGCTGTCTGTACACCGCAGCGCATGCAGCTAAACCCTAAACCCTAAACCCTAAACCCTAAACCCTAGAGTGTGGAGGAGCAGATATATAATACCTTGCGTGGTTAAAAAACCCGATGAATTTCGAGGGTTTAGGGTTTATAAAAACAATATAAACACAAAACCCTAAACCCTAAACCCTAAACCCTAATTCAGCCGTATCAGGTGTCTGTGTCTCATTCTTAAGGGTTTAGGGTTTAGGGTTTTGTCGGTGGTTTGTGTAGTTGGTTGCTGCGTAAACCCTCAAGAAGAATATAACAAAGGGTGGAGGGTCGAGGGTTTACTGTATCCTTTTATATTTGTTGCGGCAAACCCTAAACCCTAAACCCTAAACCCTAAACCCTAGATCCTAAACCCTAAACCCTCAATAGCAAACAGTCACTCCTCCTCTCCCACCCCACACCTGTGAGCAGCTGCTGTAAGCGAGGACCTGCGTAAACCCTAAACCCTAAACCCTAAAACCCTAAACCCTAAACCCTAAACCCTAGACCTTCACAACCACCCAAAGCAGACAGGCGTTGCCTACCTCTAAACCCTAAACCCTAAACCCTTGAGCAGCAGGCTATATGCAGCAGTTGGCTCGGGTTTTTGTAAACCCTAAACCCTCGAAATGTGGTTTAGGGTTTGACATCTAGGGTTTAGGGTTTAGGGTTTAGGGTTTTGGTGTTCCTTAAGAACAGCTACACGCTGGTGATAGTGAGCCTCAACAATAGCCGCAAACCCTAATTC